CCTGAGTTAGAATTTAGTAACTTCAGGTCGATTCAAAAGAAGCCAGTTTCTGTTAGTGACTTGGATGCAAACAACATCTTATAACCAAATATGACTGGGGTATTCTGTTGTGATTCACAGTGAAGTGCTGAAAGGACACAGAAAATAGTTGCCAGGAAAACACCTAAATGAAGACACAACTAGCATTATATATTGATTTGTAGCATCACTGTGCAGGGATTTACCCTTGACTTTTAGCTTCAGGTATAATATAAGGGAACCCTCAAGGGAGACAGAGAGACCAGACTTCCACCATCTACTGAGAACTCTCAGGAAGGCACTTAATACCTTTTAAAGCAGATGGAAGTAGGTTGATTTTCAGTTTCAATTCAGAAGTCTCAGAAACTTCCTCTTCCTGGACCACGCTCTAGAAATCACAGAAGAGATAGTAACACATAAACTGTGACCTCTCTTGAAAATACAGTTTTGTGGGCCGTAAGTAATGGCAAGCGCCTAAAAATCACAAAAGACAAGGGGAAAGATGATGAATGGAGTGGGCATCTGAGTGTAGAAAGTACAACCGCAGTGGGTGGAGACAACACTGGTGGTCTCTGAATAGAAGAACCTCTTTTTTTTTGGTGTGTGTGTGTGTGTCGGGGGAGGTAATTAGATTGTTTGTTTGTTTGTATTAAATGGAGGTAGTAGGGATTGAACCCAGGACCTTGTGCCTGCTAAGCACAGTCGACCACTAAGCTCTACCCTTCCCCTAGAAGGATCTTAAGAGTGCTAGTACCTGGCTCCAATCTCTCTCTCTCACTCTCTCTGTCTGTTTCATTTCCCATACTTTTCTTTCACTTTTGTTTTCTCTGTCCCAGTGAAGGCCATGGCATCGCACTGCATTTATACCACACCCCAGCCCCCACCCCAGGGCAAGTGGGCACCTGCTTGATTGCTGGATGGGAAAGGAGTTGCTGGGCTAGCCCTGCTCAAAGGCCATTGGCCAGCGGGGCCTTAATGTACTTCAGTGATCCCTGCGTCTCCTCCACGGATCTGAGTTCATGCCTGGAGTCAGGTAGGGGCTGTGGGGACCACTGAGCAGGCCCAGGGAGCTGGACACAGCTGCTCAGCTGAAGATGGTAAAAGCCAAACAAAGGAAGTCTCTGGGACAGAAGAACTAGGGAGGGAACAGCAAACTTCCCATGGAGGGAAGGAATGGAGTCCTCCGTGCTGTGCCCGAGGAACTAAACTGAGGGTCCAGGGGAAGGGAGTGAAATGCTGGCAACACAATCAGGGCTACAAGCAACACAAGTGCACTTCTGCACAGGACTGGAATTTTCTATAACTTCTGCCAGGATTTCTGGCAGAACTGGAAAAATTTTAAAAATTGATGTGAAATTCACATGACCTGAAAGAAACCATTTGGGCTTTTTATCCCCTGATCCAAATAGATTTATAATCCAGATTATTAAAAAAAAATGCTGGTAGAAGCTCAATGTTAAAGATGTGTAGGCACTTCAGAAAGACTTAAGAAGGGATTAAAATGATCCCAACCCAGAGAGGACGGTGTAGCTCAAGAGTCAGAGAGTATGCTTGGCATGAGTGAGGTCCTGGGTTCAATCCCCAATACCTCCTGTAAAAATTAATTAAACCCGATTACCTCCCCAGCCCCAGCCCCTGCCAAAATAAAATAATTAAATAACATGCTGATGAATAAATAAAATATTAAAATAAAATTCAGTGACTCCAAAACCTGCCACCCAGAGGAAACCACAGTTCAACATATTCACATTCTACCGCTTGTAAGAATATTTTCTTATGCATACAAACATTTTATTTTTAGAACCAGGATAATCCTAATTGTAATCTGATTTTTTTTAATCAACATTTACATGGTGAATCCCTATCCATGTCTTTTCTATGAGTGTTGGAAAACTACGCAGTACTTTTTAGGTGTCATACACACTGTGCTCAGCTTCCAGCAGAGCATTGATACTAGCAGGTTCTTCACTTGATTATTCAGTGAATGTCTGTAATCCAGCTTGCCATGCCTGTGACTCTTCCTGAGCGGCTGACTCCTATCTCTCCAGAAAGGGCAGCCGTTAGGCATCCACATTTTATACCTTTTGTTCCCGCATCTCTTCAGTCTTTGCCTGATGAGTGAGAGGTACTGAGAGGACCCAGCGAATCCACAGGCCAGCAGGGACCTCAGGTGTGGTCTCGTAAGCGAAGGATGAGCTAGCTACGGAGGTTCCATTTCTGAAGAATTTAAATTTAGAAATATTCAGAAGATGAGACAGCAGAGCAGAGGCAGAATTGAAAAGTTACAGTGCAGGAATGCAGAGGTCATAAAGGGCCAAATTTAGGGCAACATTCACCAAAAAGCAGACACTGTGAGGTAAAGATAAGATACAGAGACAGAGGAAGCCAGTTGAAGGAATTCAAGGTTTCAAAATTTTGTAGATACTGACAGGCATATGCAGAATAGATAAACAAGATTATACCGTATGGCACAGGGAAATATATACAAGATCTTCTGGTAGCTCACAGCGAAAAAGAATGCGACAATGAATATACGTATGTTCATGAATAACTGAAAAATTGTGCTCTACACTGGAATTTGACACAACGTTTTAAAATGACTATAACTCAATAAAAAAAAATTTTTTTAAAGGAACAATTCTGATGGCCCCCCCTTTGGATCACCTCCCACTCACACTGAAGATAGCTCAATTCTGCAAATGGCTTTTCTGCTAGAATTCTGTGAGATTCCATTTCCCTACTCCTCCATGTATCTTTCCAATTCAAACCACTAATTCATCCACTCGGAGACTGATAGCTTGAGTTTCGGAAGCCTGAAGCCTAAAGAATGTAAATAACATAGTTATGTTGATCATTTAGCCACAAGATTTACTTAAGGGTGTGGATTAAAATAAAGCACGGAAGGAAAGTGAACAACTCGTGTCCTGTAGTACATTTACAACTTCGTGCGACGACCGCTGCTATCTAGTTCTAAAATACCTCCCTACGTGCCCCAAAATAAGATCCCGTACCTGTCACGCCCCATTTCCTCCAGCCCCCATCAGCCCCCAGTCTACTTCCTGACTCTATGAATTGGTTCCACTTCAGCTATTGTGCGCAGTGCTGCTGAGGACAACCATGACCCAGTATGGTTTATTCCCTGTTTCAGTTCCCTGGGGGTATGCCTAGGAATGGAATTGCCCAGTTGAATGGTAGAATTTTAAGAGGTGCTGCTCAGTGGCTTTTCTTCCTGTATGCCGTGGTTTTCTTTTTCTCTCCCTTCTGATATCTGTTTTTCTTTTGGGGGGCTGGGGGGTGGTAATTAGCTATATTTAATTTTTTTTTTAAATGGAGGTACTGGGTGATTGAACCCAGGACCTCGTGTATGCTAAGCAGGCACTATACCAATTGAGCTATGCCGTCCCTGATCCCCCGTCCCTTATTTCTTCTGGTGCCCAGGCTCACTGCAGGGAAGAGACAAGCCCCCTACACTCACCAGAGGTAAGCGGTCAGCCCAGGGATCTTCTGGATAACAATCAGCTGTTGCAGCCAGTGAGCCACAGGCAGCAGGAAGTTCTGAATGGTTTTGGTTTCTTTACTTTTCTTTCTTTCTATTTATTTATTTTTTTTTACCCTCCTGAGCAGAAACAGAAATTCAGACTTGTACATGAAAATCTTCCTATTTTTAAAGTTGGCTCAGAAATTTTTAACCCTATAAAGAGCAAACAGAAGTGAGTCACTGGGTGGGACGCAGCGACATACACAGCTGAGTTAACGACCTCCTGGTCAGTGAGAGGAGGTGGAGTCAGCTGTTTCGTGAAAGAGAAACTAACACGTGGCCCTGGGGTGGGCAAAGGTCAGTTTACCAAAGAAGAGCCAGCAGGCTTGGTGCTCTTATGTGGCCCGCTCCAGAGCAGGGGAGCGAGGCCCGGACTGCAGAGCCCACAGGGCTCCCCGCTCCTGGGGCTGTCTGCCCCCTCCGTCTCCTCACTCATGTGGAATTCGACACGTCTGTGCTCAGGGCCGGCGTCCTCGGTCTGCCTGACAGGGAAAGAGCTGATCCTTGTCATTATGGCTCCGGGAGACCCTCCCCAAGGGTCCTCCTATCATCGTCATGAAACTCCCCCAGAGAATTCCCTGACAGCTTCTCAGGCAGCACAACCCAGCATCACAGGGTGTTTGGGGTCATTAGAGAATTTCTGATCAGCTAATGCAGGAGGAGCAAGAACGGTCATGAACTTGCTGCCTGCGGGACTAACGGTGCCCTGTGGGACACAGCTGGGGACAGAGAAGG